GCACGTCCGCTGTCTGCCCCACACGCTCCGTGCCTCCGGCAAGAGGGTGGGCGGCTGGGACCCGCGGGGGCGCAGTGAGCGGGCGCGCAGGAGGGCTTCTCAGACCCACAGGCAGTCTGGGGGCTCAGGGTGCCCCGGTGAGGAGTCCCGGGGTGGGGCGGAGGGCCAAGACCATTTCTGGGTCAGAGAGGAGCCGGCGTGTGGCGGGGGGTGGCTGACGTCAGGGAGCCGGGCCCCAAGCTGGTGGGCTCCGTGCGAGCGGGGAAGCACCGCCCGCAGGTCTGGGGGCGGGGGGAGGCTGGGGGGCCAGAAGGGCTGCCCCCGGCGTGTCCCTGGCTCGACTTCAGGGGCTTGGGGCAGGGCCCGGAGCCTCTCGCCTTCTCCGGCCCATGCAAAGGGCAGGGGGCCCTGCGGCCGCGGAGCCCCGTTCTCCCACCAGCGCCCACGCGGCCCCCGTTCCTCGGCCCCTCTCTGGGCTCCACGGCTGGTGATGGTGTGGGGCTCCCACCTGCCCCACACGATGCACCCCACTATCACTCCTTTGTCTTCTCACATGGAAATACACCCTGCGTGCGTTCTCAGGGGTCTGCCTTCCTTCTGGAGATAGCAACCCCCTCGGTGGGCCGCAGGGCCCTGGACGCCCACCCAGGCTGGCCGCTGGGCTCCACGGCGGGACACGCACACCCAGCGGCCAAGCCAGAGGTCCGGTCACCATCCCAGGAGGAGCTTCGCCGGCCACAGCCGAGCAGATGGTGCCTGGCGGTCACCAAGGCAGCTGGGGGGCTCCTGGCTCCAGCCCGCAAGGGGCTGCTGTGCGCCAGTGCTGGGGGTGCGACCCCCCCAAACTGGAAAGACTGAGAACAAAGGGGGGCAGCCTTTGGCTGCTTCTGAACCAGTGAAGAGGTGTTAGTTGGTTCTGCCCAGCCCACCGGGTCCTGTCAACCTGGCACTGGGACGCTGCCCCTCGGAGTGGCAAGGCCCTGGGCGAGGCTGAGGACGCCACTCCTGGGCTCTGGCCGTGGGGGCAGTGCGGTCTGGCCCCCAGCATGTGGGCCCGGGCTCCCCCTGCAGCCCGGGCGGGGCGAGTGGCCTGGGCACCTCCTCTTGAGCCGGCCACTCCTAACCTCTCAAGAGCCACCCCGTCCTCGGGCTGGAGACCCCCTTCTACTACAGAATAAACGCACGGCCGTCGCCTCTGGGCCGAGGCCGCAGGGGCCAGTGAGAAGCCCGCACAGCCCTCCAGACAGTGACAGCTGAGCAGGCGTCGCCCACACCACTGCTCCCCAGTTCTGCCTCTGCATGCCCGGGGGCCGCTGTGTGCTGGCAGCCCCAGCTTCGGAACGGACACTGCCCTGCCCTTGAGCTCCGAGCCAGGAGGTGGAAGCCTAGGACCGGCACCGGGCCATGTGGCCCCAGGGCAGAGCGCAGTGGGAGGCCGGGAGGGCCACAGGCTCAGGGCGCCCCGCAGCGCAGTAGCTTGGTGCCCCTGGGCCAGCCTGAAATGGGCCTCCGGGGTTGCGCTGTGGGGCAGGGGGCAGCAGGAACAGGCCCCCCCACGTGGGGCCAGCTGGGCCCATCCAGCGTCCGGCTCTGGGCAGGCCCAGCCAGCCTGCTCACATCAGCGGGGTATGCACCTGAAGCTGCCCCCCCAAGATGGACCGTGTAGCCCGGTGGGCCCCTCCCTCCTGCACCCTCACTCACCTGAGAGCAGATTCGGTCACCCTGGCATTGCTCAGAGCCCAGCCGCCCCTCAGCAACACCCCGCTGCACCCCGCCGGAGCAGCAAGGCGTCACCTGGCCCACCGCAGCTGGCCGCTGGCCTTCTGCTCGGCAGACCCGGGCTCCAGCACCAGCCTGGCTCCCCCGGAGACTGCGCGGAGGGCCCCACTGCCCTCAAGGAGGCGCTCCGGGCCCTCCCCCTGGCCCTCCACAGGAAGCCCGCGCTCTCTCAGGCAGCTTCGGCATGAAGGACCAAGGACCGGGGCTCCTGGGGTGCAGGCGGGGCCCGGCTGAGGCGGCCCGCAGGACGCAGCGGACCCCTCCTGTCTCCCCACTGCCCCTCAGCGGTGGGTTTCAGGGGATCCGCCTGTGCCGCTCCCCACTCTGTCTCTGGGGAGCCCTCTCACCCCTGCACTCTGGCTTGTACCCTACTCTTGCCTACATAAGTAAATAAAAATGAGCCAAGGACTGGACAGAGGGCTGGTAGGCGAGTGCCGGATCACGCGGGTCAGGTTTAGGAGCTGGGCGGACGCCGCCTTGCCCTGCTGAGGGTGTGGGGCTCGGAGGGGAGGGGGCACCCGAGGACTTGCGCCCCTTCACGGTGGCCTGGACGCTGCCGGGGAGCACGTGCCTGTGCCGGCCCTGAGCCGCCGGGCCCCCGAGGTGGCTGTGCTCCCGAACAGCAGCCTGGCCTCTGAGGAGCACGACGCGGGGCGGGACGGTATGGGGCGGCCGCACGGCCCTTTAGGCAGGTGGCAGGAAGGTGCGCGGCTCTGGCCTGCCGGCCCCGCCCGCCCCTCAGCCCAGGCGGGCTGCAGTCCTGTCCCCGAGCCCCAGGGCCGAGGCCGCGCCGCCCTGGGGTGCATTTACACTGTGTCTTTCACAGCGCCGAGTCACTTTTGTGAGGTCCGAGAGGGGTGAGCGCCCGCACAGCCGGCCACACACCCCGTCTCGGCGGCTGGCACAGACCCGGCCTGCCCGGCGGAGGCGGGCTGGCTGCCAGCCGCTGCCCAGGGCCTGCCTTGGGGCAGCTCAGCCGCGGCAACCAGCGGCCCCTGGCAGACCCGGGCCACGCCTGGGGCACAGGCTCACCCGGGTGGTCTCCTGCGAGGACTCACCGGGGTCCAGCGGCCAGGCCTGTGGCCCGTCTGCAGCCGTCCACAAGGCCTTGACCGAGTGGCTGCAGGCTGCGCTGGTTTGCTGAGACCGACAGCGTCGGGCAGAGACGCCCACTGAACATCATCCGCACGGGTCCGGCCGGGGCTCAGGCCCGCCAGCGTCCGGAACGCGTGCGCCGAGACCGGCACGGAAGCTTCGTCCACTCCTGCAACGGGTAGAGCTTAACTTACCGACACTCGTGTTAGGCAGTTCATTGGGGCTGAAATTAGATGAAAATGTGAATACGGAAATACACGAATTTGACTTTTTCCCCCGAAGACGAACACCGACACGACTCACCCGGCCCGGCAGACCCGGCCGGAGGGAGCTGGAGCGGCAGCGCTTCTCCCACACCTGCGAGCCGGGGCGTGCCTGCCCCCGGCCAAGGAGCAGTGTCCACCTTCACCCTGAGCCCAGCCAGACCTGCAGGGCGCGTCACCACCTCAGCCCACTACCGCGAGGTTCCCGCCGGGGAGGGAGACCCCCAGAGGCCACGGGGCCAGGCCAGCGTGTCCTCTCACGCACCTCGCGTCAGGGTGCCGCCGTGGCCAGGCCCACACCGAGGGGGCACTGCCCCCACCTCCCGGAGGACCCTGGCCCTTGGGGCTCCCCGACAAAGCCCGCTTCTCGGCCCGGGAAGAGGGGTGCCAGCCCGAGGGCGGGGCGGACGTGCAGCCCCGCACCAGCACCTCCGGGGCAAACTCGGCACTTGGCCACTTCTGAAGAATCTATTCAGGCTGTGCCAGGGCACGGCGAGAGGCCGCGAAGTGGCCGCTGGCGGGGAGCCCGGCCCAGCCCGGGGGCGTTTCGGGGCATCTTGTCCGGCAGGTCTGCAGCGCTCAGGGGTACAGCTTTGCCTCTCGCCGTCCCCACTTCGCTCCCGTGAGGGCTTCATCCTCAGTCCAGGCCAACAGCCCAGAAGAGGACACTTAACGCAGGCAGGTCCTAGCGCCAAGGAGAAATTCATCCGTGCCAACACCCACTCCAGCCTCGAAGCCGACGTTACCAGCCGCTTCGGAGCGCCCTCCCCAGGCGCTGGGTCAGGAGAAGGCGTCGTCCTGCCCGCTCCAGCCCTCGGCCTGCCCTGGCCTCTGGGCCCCGAGCTCCGGCCGGGAAGCGCTGAGGGCTCTGCCTGGAGGCCTGGGTGGGGTCACCGCCCCGCCCCCTCGCCCAGGGCACGGCCAGTGCGGTGCTGCCCGGGCAGACGCCGCTGCTCTACCCTTGCTCGTTCCGTTCTGGAGGTTCGGCAGCAGAGCCGCTGTTGCTCAGGACTGTGCTTCAGACGAAAATCGAGAAGTTTCAGAGAGGAAGCGCAAGGCTGCCGTGGGTCCAGCGTGGGTGGAGGCCCGGGGCCTCCAGGAGCCTGTCTCGGGGCGGCGAGTGAGGGCCGGCCCTGGGGAACGCCTGCAGGAGGGAGGCCCTGCTGGCCGTCACTGGCAGGGCGGGCGGCGGCGGCACCAGGTCCGAGCTGGCCGTGCGGCCCCCTCCCAGCACTGCCGCCAGCGAGACCGTGACTCCCTGGGTCTGAGGAGACCCCGCAGGCCTGCCCGGCCCCTCCAGACTGGCCTCCTTCGTCCCCGCCACCGGCTCCGCCAGCTCCCACCCTGGGCAGGCACCGGGCAGCAGCACGGGCCACTGCTGACCGCCGCCTGCTCGGCGCGCCGGAGGCGGCCCAGGCCCGGAAAGGCCACTTACCTTGCTTGAGCCAGTGACCGCACCCTGAATTCCGAGCTGCGACCCGGCGACCTGCAGCACTGGGAGCAGCTCCGCCACGGCCATGGCTGCACCCCGGCCCCGCCGCAGCAAAGGCCCGGCGGGCCCCGAAGAGGGGACGCCCGGGGTGGCCGCATTACCACCTGCGAGCAGAACCCCGGGGCGGGGGGTGCCTGCAGGCCACTACCTCCGGGGCCCTGCCCAGGGGTGGAGGCTCCCGGGAGCCCCACTGGCCATGCGGCGGGGGACACACGGGCGTGCTGAGGCGCCGCCAGCCTGGCCTGCGGGGACACATGGCCGAACCACAGTCACTCTCAAACCAGCGCGTGATCCTGAGTCTGTGTTTAATCACAAGGGTGTGCGAAACAGAGAGACCCGGATGACCAGAGTGAGCTAACGAGTGAGCTGATCCTGACACAAAACACACAGGTCCGAGCCACTCGGCCGCGGGGAAGCGGGGCTTTGAGCAGCAGCCCCCCAGGCCCTGGCGCTGTCTGGGCAGAGGGCGGCTACGCCGTGGGCCCCAGGGAGGCCTTGGGCGGGCGACAAGGCAGCCAGGGCCGGGCCAGTCTCCACAGCCGGCACGGCGCCCCCCTGGCGGGACACAGCGCCCACTCGCGTGCTGGGTCGGGCGCTGATGAGGCGCTGGGCGGTCTGGGAAGGGCCGGGGCGGCCCGCGCCACGTGTCTTTCTGACCAAACGACACAAACCCACCGGAGAGCACAAGCCTGCCCCTCGCTGGCGCCCGGCGGGCGGGGCCGTGAGGCAGAGCCCCAATCAAAGTGCTCCAAACTGCTTCTTTGAAAAAAGATGTTTATTAAACAATTTTAATTGTCATAAAATGACTAAAATGGGTTTTAAAAATTAAGGCTCTTCTCTTTCTGTGGATTGCCAGAACAATGTAAAAATAATATCAATCAACCCTGCTGAATGCTTTGTTCCTAAAGTTAAATTTCATAGATTCCTAGACTTTTATGATTACGATAAAAAACTGGGCTATAAATGACGGGTGACGGCGTCCGTCCTGAGACTGGTCAGGCGCACAACAGTCTCGTGGCGTGGCTGGCGGGAAGGCCCCTCTGGCGCAGGGGCGCTCGCCGCAGCATCGGGCCTCCGCGCGGGCCTGACCCCGCCCTGGGGTGGCCTAAGAGAGGGGCGCTAGCCTTGGGGCGCTACGGGCTCCCAGGAGGGCGACTGACTGGGCTGGCAATTAGTTTGATTATAGTTTTTAAACGTTCTAAGGTGAATTATCAAATGATTCAGAATTACATGACATGCAGTATCCAAAATTATGGCTCTGATGCACTGAGATTTACATTGAGAATAAGAAGTGTCATTCACATTCGTTGTACACCCCTCCCTCCCGCAAGGAAAAAAAAAATCACTACCTAGTCAAGTTCGAGACCGGCGCAGCATTAAGGGTTAAAACTCACCACTTTCCCCGGCCTTCCCCACGTGCAAACGAAGCCCTCCTGGCAGGCCGTGACCACACAGTCCTCCAGAAAGACCAGCACAGTCAGCCTTTCGTGCGCGATCTTTTTACAGACCAGCGGCTCTAACAAGGGGACGTCCTCCATGCGGGGGCACAGGGGGGTGCCCAGGGTCTTAGCAGGGTCCGCTCTGGCCTTGGCGACGAGGTTCAGTTTGTCGCTGCTCTTGCTGGAGATGTGGCCCATGCTGTGGTTGCGCTTGTGGTCCTTCTCGTGGTGCCTGTCCTTCCGGTCGTGGAGCGAGAGGGTGGCGAACTTGCTGACGCCCGAGGCGATGGCCCCGTCGGCCACGCTGCTCTTGCTGCCGGCGCCGGAGACGGTGGAATGTGGGAGGCTGTTGGACCGGGGCAGGGGGGGGGGCGCGGCGCCGCCGGGGGTGGTGACGCTGTTGCCCGCGCCCCCAGCCGGGGCGCTCGTGGCGTTCATGACGTTGGTGTGTGTCCGTGCTCTGGAGAGGGGCTGGTGGGGGAAAAGGATGTCTTCCGTGAGGTCCCACAGGCAGAGCTGCGTGTCCTGGCCCACGGAGCCGAAGCGGTAGGTGACGCTGACCGGGCGGCTCTCGGCCGAGTTCCGCTTGGAGAGCCGCGACTGCGTGCTGTTGGCGCGGTCCCTGCCGAAGCGCAGCAGGTCCTGGAAGTCCTCGTCGCTGCCGCTGAACTCCATCGGCTCGCTCTCCTCCACACTGGTGGTGTAGGGGTCGAAGGCCACCACGCTGACCCAGGACTTGTGCCCGTGGCCTCGCGCGATCACGCGGCAGTCTGCGAAAGACCAGACGGTCACCAGGTCGTCCTCGCCGCCGGTGACAATGTACTTGCCGTCGGGGCTCCAGCACACACACAGCAGGCCTCCGAAGTAGCTCTTCAGGGTGCCGTGCAGCTCCACCGAGTCAAAGCTGAACACCCGCAGAAACCCGTCCTGGCTCACGCACGCCAAGAACTGGCCATCTGGGGAGAAAGCAAACTCGTTGAGGGCCCCCTCGCCCACCGTCCACTTAAGGAGAGGGTTCCTCGTGGATTTGCTCTTGCAAGTGTGCACGGCAAAGCTCTCTCCCTGCTTCAGGAGCTGGTAGTGGGGGGCTGTGGTGCCACAAGTGTGCTCCACGTTATACAAGTACATGCCCCCACTCGAGTGGGCTACTAGGAAAAGGCTCTCCGAACCGGGGACCCACTTGACACAGGTTACGCGTGACTTGTCTATCAATCTCTGTGAAGACAAAGGAGAACACGTTATCACGATGGAGAAGGGTGATAGGGCGACTTTTCCAGCAAGAAAACCTGTCTGCCTCGGGGTGAGAAGGACGAACGTGCCGGGCAGTCCACGCCCACCCGTGCCAGCCGGCGCCCGGGCCCTGGCCCTGGGAGGAGGGCTCGCCAGCGCCGCGCTGGAGCGGGGCTTCCCGGGAGGGCGTCGGGCCTGTCCGGCCCTGCTCTGCACCCGCGTGGACGCACACCAGGTGGCCTGGCCTGTCCGCTCCTGCACCAGAACCAGCTGTGTCCCTGACTTGCACCCACACATGATGTTCCCCCATGGAAACCCCTGAAAGCCCCTCATTCCTCGCGCCAGGAATGCACCCCATTCCCAGACTGCCCCCAGCCGCAGGGTGGCCCCTGGGATCCCTAAGTGGATCACACAGGCCCTGCTTCGGCCTTCTGGCGGGCGTCAGGGGCCCCGCCAGAGGCACACGGGAGGGACCCTGCACACTCTTCCTGGCGTCACCAACGCCGTGGCCTGTGTGTGCACACGCAACTCCTTCACAAGTTCTTCGGAACGAGAGGTGTATTTACCGGAGTAAACAGATGCTGCCTCGGGAGCAGGCGCTGCGCCGGGCACTCACCCACCACCCCTCCAACAGGCCAAGGCGAGGCCTCCCGGGGCGCACAGGCCATCTCGGTGCTAGCACGCCGCCCCAGCCGCTGCGGCCTGAGCGCGACCCCCAGCCAGGGTGCAGACCACAGGGCCAGCAGACCCCTCCCGTCTCCCCTCAGCAGTGTACTTTGCCAATCCGCCTGTGCTGCTCCCCACTCTGTCTCTAGGGAGTTCTCTCACCCCCACCTCTGGCCTGTACCCCAGTTCTTGTATGCAAAACTAAATACAGGCCCTCCCTGGTGGCGCAGCGGGTTAAAGCACAACACTGAGAATCTAAAGCCGCTTCCGCATGAGTTCGATTCCCGCCTGCCCCAGAGGTGACCACATGGTGCGGCAGACCTCTCCTGACCCGCCCGCTGCTCCCCTCAGCAGTGTACTTCGTCGATCTGCCTGTTCTGCTCCCCGGCTCTGTCTCTGGTGAAGCCTCTCACTGCCCCTGAGCCTCTAGCCTGTACCCCAGTTCTGTATACACAAATAAATAAATCTTTAAAAAAAAAAACAAAAAACTAAATACAAAATAAATCTTTAAAAAAAAAAAAACAAACAGGCATGGGCCCTGCCTGGTGGCGCAGCGGGTTGAAGCGCAGCAAGCTAGTCACAACCGCTTCAATCGGTCAAGTTCCATCCCCACCCCGGAGGTGGCCCACGTGGCACGGCAGACCTCTCTGACTGCCCGCTGCCCCCTCAGCAGTGTGCTTCATCCATCTGCCTGCTCTGCTCCCCGCTCTGTCTCTGGTGAGTCCTCTCACCGCCCCTGCACCTCTGGTTTTTAACCCAATTCTGTGTGTGTAAATAAATCTTCAACAACAACAGGCAAAAACCCTTGTGCCTTTCAGGACAGAAGAAAAAACTGCCCCAGGCGTGCTGAGAACCCCACAAACTGCAGACAGGTGCATTCAACTCAGAGTTCGCCTCACTGGCTGGGAGCCCGGCGCGGCCTCAGGGGGTGCGGGGCGTGGGGGGCAGCCCAGAGCCGAGCCCTCTGCCAAGCCGGTGCAGCAGCCGGCTAACACACGCCCAGACAAGACGCTGGCGAGGCCGGACCCAGCCACAGGCCAGCACGCAGCGTGGGGCTCGGGGACAGTGGGTGGGGCCAGGTCACTCTGCAGCAGGCACCACAGCCGACGTGAGTGGGCCCTGGGGACAGGGCAGAGCCTCGCGCCCCGCCTCCCCCAGCGCAGACCCGGGGAGCAACCATCTCAAGTGTCACAGCTTCTCCCACAAGAGGTTATAGGGTAACCGGCAAGGCAACCTGGGCTTCTGTTTTAGGGGAGGCCTATCCCACGCCCACATTCCTGATCCCACAAAAGGACTGGCCTGCCAACTCCTTATCTTGGGTCACCCTGGCTCACCCCCATCAGCAGCCTTGTCAGGGGCTCGAAGGGTCAAGGTGGGAAACAGCCCAGCCCAAGCCCGGGTTACTCTCACGCGTGCACACTGGAGGCAACAGGCAGGAGGAAACCGCACCCGGGCCTGCAGAGGCCCCGGAAGCTGCCGAGGGCTGGCTCGGCCTGCAGAGGCCCCGGCCGTGGCCCCAAGCGGCACCGCTGGGGCCTCACGCGACCTTCCCTCCAGGCCAGAGGCTCCTCTAGGAGCTGCCGGTTCAGCTCCCCAGCACCCCGTCTTCCACCTGTCTGCTGTGCAAAGACAGCCTCCTCCCCTCCCAGAGCCCCTTGCTTCAGCTCGCCCCACGACAGGCACTCACCAAGACAAGGCCTCACTGCGGGGGCCCAAGGTGCACTCCCGCAGGGCGTGTGCCAGCCACTGCTGTCTCCCCAGGCACCCGGGCAACACTCTCAGGTCGCCTCCATGCCGCCCCGCTCCCAGGCCAAGCACCACTTCTCTGCCTCCAGTGCATGCCCAGGCTGGGCGCCCAAGGACCTGTGAGACATCCTGGGGGGGGGGGCGCACAGGTGTGGGCAGATAGGTGTACACAGAGATGAGGCGGGGGGGGCGGTCGACAGAGCACCCCCAGACTGGCAGGGCAGCTGGAAGCTGCCTCGGGGGTGACGGGCTCAGACAGTAGGTGGCAGGTGGGGTGCTGACAGAGTCACCGCAGAGCAACGGCACCCCAAGGCCCTGCGCAGAGCGCCCCGCGCGCAGGACTCCGAGTGCCAGCAGAAGCCGCTGCTGGGCCCACCGCAGGCTGGGGCTGGCGCCCAGCAGCAGGTGCAGGCCAGGCTGCTGACCGGGGCGCCAGCGTAGGCGCACATGCTGGGGCCAGCTTGGCGGGCACCCCGACTTTAAATTGCTCAGGAGTATGACCTGGTGTGTATTGCACGAAAAAAGGAAGAGGACAGAAGCATTTTCTGTCTTTATGGTGAGAAACAAGCCATGGACAGGTACTCACGCTGCGTGCAGCCCAGACACACAGCTGCGTGAGCACACGGGGCGGACACAGCTCGCGCCTCAGCCGCCTGCATTACGTGGGGCCCCGAGGGCGCGTCTCGGCAGCAGCAGGCCTGGGGAAGCACCGGTGGACGCCGCTGCGGGCGGGGCTGGGCTGGCGAGAGCACCAGGGCGCCTCTGCCCCCAGTGAGCGCCGGGCGGGGGCTGCGAAGGCCCAGGCTGGGCTGGGGTGACACTAAGGCCCCCAGCGCATTGGGGCCCTGAAGGGGAAATACACGCCCGATTCTGAGGGCCTGGAGGGTAACGGTGACTTCCTGTCGTGCTTCTTAGGCGGATGAGAGCTGAATAGTATTTTAAACATAAACACGCTGGATGGCATAAACACGTAAGGTTCGTCCCACCGGGTCTACAGATGGCCGGAGCCCACTTCTGAGAGGGACCAGAGGGGCGTGTGACACCCTGGCAGCAGGCTCGCGTGGCCAGGTGGGTGGACAGGGAGGGTACCAGCAGCAGGGCCTTGAGGTGTCCCCGGGGGACGCGCAGGGAGAGTGTGAGATGATGGACAAAACCTGCAGGAGGGCAGCCGGGACCTGGCAAAAGGACCCAGAATCTCATGGGGGGCCGGGGGAGGAGGAGTGGAAGCCCCGCCGGGGCTTGGGGAGCAGGGCTGACAGAGGGCAGGGGGGCCGAGGGCGGGGGCGGGCAGGGGAGAAAGGCCCTGCTGGGCTGCAGAAGCAAGCGCCAGAGGCCGGTGGGGGCAAGGCTGGCGGCGGGAGGACAGCCCGCCTGCGGCAGGGGCCGGTCAGGCGTCCCGGCGGGGCCGGCGAGGGGCACCGCGTCCCAACTGCTCCAACCACTTTCATAAGAACCGAACTCAAAGTCTGGTGTCAACACGCCGCTTCTGGACTCAAGCTCCACCGCCTGGCCCTGGCTGAGCACGCCAGGCCTCGCCCAGGGCAGCGTGGTGCCGCGGTTAGACCCAGCAGCGGGCGACACAGCCCGGGGCAGTGTGCAGAGCCCGCCGCCCGCAGGAAGTATCCAGAGAGGGCCGCACATTTGGACTTTAAGGGTCAAGTGCTCACTTCCTTCCTCTGATTAGAAAAGCAACCGCCACAAAACAAAATGCCCAGAAACACCCGTCTGGTCCAGAACGAAACACAACACGCAAGCCGCCTCTGTGCCCAGCCGGGGTCTGTCAGGCCTCGGGGCGCGAGGGCCCAGAGCAGGCCATGACAGCAGCCGAGGACAGTGCCCTCAGCGCTGACCTAGCCTGACAGGTCCTGTGTCCCCACGGGCGGGCCGGAAGAGACCGGGCTTTGTGAGGAGAGCGCCACGGTCGCCACTAGGCAGGGATGCCCTCGCCCTTGCCCTAAGACATGGGGGCTCCCAACAGTGTGTGGGACCCAGGACCCGCCTTTCCAGGAAGCTGTCGTTCCGCAGGGGCCAGGCTCTCAACAGGCCCACTGGACGCCACAAGGCCACAATGCGAGTAGAAATGAGCAGCTGAAGCCCAAAGCCTACTCTCTTGGACGAGATGGCTGTCTCGTCCCTGAGGCATCCAGCGCCTGGCCCAGGAGAGGCAGGGCTTGCCTCTGGGCCTCAAGTGACCGAGATTGGCCAGAGTAGCGACCAGGCTTGGAGGTGAAGGTCCAGGCGTGAGTGGTCACAGTCTCATCCCATTAAAAACAAAGCAAAATGCACTGGACTATGGTGAGGGCACATGGGTGATTTGGAGATAGGAAACCCAAGGGGGTTGCAACTGAGATGGGAAAATGCACAAAAATATGTAAAAAATAATTATTAAAAAAAAAAAAAAAAAAGCAGGGAGTCAGTCTCAGCACCGTAAGCCGACCCAGCTGCTGTGGCACAAGTTCAATCCCGGCCAGAGAGTGACCACAGGGCGCGGCAGACCCCTCCTGTCCCCCGCTGCTCCCCTCGGCAGTGGGTATCAGTGGATTCCCCTGCCTGCTCTCCACGGCCTCTGGGGAGTCCTTTCACCCCAACCTGCACCTCTGATCTACTCCCCAGCTCTTGTCTGCATAGATAAATCTTTAAAAGTAATAAAAAAACAAAGCATGGCGCAGGCACTGAAGGCCCTGGCGAGCAAGGCTTACAAGGACGCAGCCCCTCTCCCGTCTCAGTCCTGAGCTTTCCACAAACGAGAACTTTAAAAATTTTAACGGGGAAAATCACCTTTTAAGAAATACTTGATTCCCAGATAGATATTTTCCCTTTGAGTCGATTTCTGGCACTGTAAAATCCACCCGTCAGGGCACGGAGTGCACTTTCAAGCACCTCCCAGGGTGGAGGTGCAGGAGGCCAGGCGGCGGCCCCTCCCCACCCCCCAGCAGAGGTGCCAGGCAGCCTCCCTGCTCCCGGCATTGGGCGGGGACGCTGTCCGCTTCAGGGCTCTCGGCTCCTTCAGGGAAGCCTGAACCCTGGCGAGCCACCGGGGCCCCTGCCCTCTGTCCCGGGCTGCCCGCACGAGGACAGGGCACGTACATGCCGACACTCCTCAGACTGCGCCCAGCTTTGGGCTCCAGGTCTGTCGGCACAGCGGGCCTGGGCGCCCACTCTCCTGTGCTGCCGCGCCCGCCCGCGGAGGTGAGCAGGGGCCACAGCAGTCTTCGGGGTCCCGCCACTCAGCCGAGCAGCCAGACCACGCCAGCTCCAGCCAGGGCCGCCAGCCCCTCCCTCGCCAGCCAGGCTCCCCCGTCAGCGCTGGCGCTCCCCCAGCTCCCCATGCCGTCACCACAGTCACCACGTCACGCTGCGTCACACTGTGTGGTGCGGCACTCACACCTCCCTCCCGAGCGGGGAGCCGCGGGGTCCTCCCGCACCGGGACAGGCAGGTGGAAGACTGCCGCCACCTGAGCCAGCGCTCTGCGCTTCCCGGCCCACACAGGCCTCCTCCCTGGTCTTGCGACACCCATCTATGCTCTCTTCGCCCCATCCTGTCTTCCACAGAGCTGACAAGAGTTCCGAAGACATGTCGATCCTGTCACCCCGTTGGTCTAAAGCCCGGCGCCCCCACAGCCACCGCGTCAGACGCGGACTTCTGGCGCCTCGCGCAGGCTCTCCCGGCCGGCCCCAGCGTGCCCGCGCGGCTGTGACGCTGCCTCTCAAGGCCCAGGCCCCGGGTTCAGCCCCATGCGACTGGGCTGCTTCCTCCAGGCTGGACAATTTGGAAGACCCGGCCCCACGTATCCAATTCACACGCATCTTTCAGGATCCAGATCAAGCGTCACCTTCTAGAAGCCTCCTTTTCACTTTTACTTTAAGCTTGGACATACAGCAGAAAACAGCGGGCACACAGCCCTCGGTGCTGAGCCTGCCGCATGTGCTAACGCAGTGCCAGGACCCTCACGTGCGCCTCCCACGCTGCAGCTGGGGGTTTGGGGGCTGTCGGCCGGTGACTAGACATGGCGGCTTCGCGGCGGCCAGCTAGAGCGGGGGGTTAATTTCTCACTGCAACACTTACTCCTGCTTCACTTACCTTCCCCTAGTTCCTTCGTCTGTAAAACGTGGACAAGCGCCCACTGTGCCGCGCACGGTCTAACCTGGCTCATAACACCAAGCGTGGCAGGAGGTCTCCACCTCCCTGCCTGGGCCTCCTGAGAGCCTGGCTCTTGGCCACCCCGACTACAAACTGATGACAGTGTCGTTCAGTCAGAAACCTCCTTCCCACAAAGGGCAACCCATTTCCTCCTCAAGCTCAACTTCCACGCCGGCCTCCACCCACACGCAGTCCTGGCGTTTGGAAGTCACTTTTCAAGTAGGAAAGGGTCTGAGACGAGTCCCACTTCGGGGCCTCCAGGCCTGCACCTGCTGTCCAGAGCAGCTGCTCGCCTGGAACCTGGCCTCAGGGGCCCACGACACACCCCGGGCTCCTGGAGCAGCTCCCTGCTGTGGCCGCCGGTGAGGCTCCCAGACCTCAAGCACACACCGCCCTCCACAGGTGCCCTCCCCTGGCAACGCACGACCTGCACACAGGGCCTCTCCTGGGGACCCCCATTCATAGCTCTCAGTGCAGAGAAGACGCCTCCTCCCAACCCAGCACCCTGAAGCCACTGCCAGGACAACACTATTAACACATCTAGGTAACAGGAACTCTTGGCTTAAGGTTTTTTAGCAGAAAATGGGACTGAGTACTTGGCCTCTGGTTTGCCAATCCAGGTGGCCAGTTCTACTTCCAGGCAACACAGGAACCCAGAAGTGAAGATGCGAGGCTGGGAGCCCCCACGCCAGGGCCAGCAGGCAAGCGCCGGGGCCTGCCTGCTCGGGGCCTGCAAGCGCAGTGACTGCTGGCAGAACACGGCATCTGCCGTGACGAATGGCTCCCCAACACAACGACTGGGCGGCATCCGCAAGCAGGCCATCTGCGGGTGGGTCCCCGCTGGGGGCCCTGGGCTAGCCGGCCGTGGGGCTGCAGTCTCAGCAGGATGCGCCCCCCAGCGCCCCAGGCCGCAGGCCGCCTCGCCTGCCCCTCTGCTGGCAAAGGCGGCCGAGGAGGAAGCCAGCGCCGGCGCGGCAGCAGAGTGGAGCGGAAAAGTCACTCCAACCACTTCAGCAAACATAATCTATTTGGCAGCTTCTCTCTGCCACGTTTAATGGTCCTGACAGGCTCCCGAACAGACAGCTCAACTATCCCAGGCCCCTTCCAGAATGAAACCGAAGATACGACAAGCCCAGTACTTACTACAACTCTGGCAAGAGCTAAGTCACATGACTGCGTTTTAAGTGCCAGGATTTTAACTATGTCAAAGGTGACTTGAGAGGAAATATCTTTAAGAGCAAGAGAATACCCCTTAGCCAAACCCTGCCAAATGCACACACGGAAGCCTCAGTTGCAACCTGAGGAGCCGAAGAAAAGCCCTCACATTCTTCGGGGTGCAAGGGACCTTCCGGCGACGTGCAGGCGACGTCTCGTCCTTAACCACCGATGCAGCCACCCCGCCTGGCCCCCGCTGGTGCTTCCGAGCGCCTGCCACGGCCACCTGCACCGGTGCCACCAAACACACGCGCAGGTGACCCCGGAGAGAAGAGGCGAAAGTCAGCAAAATCATCCACATTTAAACTCAGTATTCTAGGGCCGCCGAGGGAGGAGCGCGGTCTGCGCCGGACGTGCGCGAGGCGAGGCTGCCTCTGGCGGGGCGGAGGCGTTCTTACAGGGCGTCTGAACGGCCAAGCGGGTGCTACTTACTTCCTCATTAAATAGTTTGCTAGTTTCTTTTTTGATTGGGTCTATAAGCTGGACTTGGCCTGCGGAAAAGCCCACTAGGAGAGAGACACTTTCTGCTGTGGCTGTTAGGTGGTTGAAGTCATGACAAGTAGGCTGTGTTCCTTTGTATATCCTTTTATCTATTGGTTTACTCAAGTCAGCAGCCTGGAGGAGAGAGAGAAAAATACATACGGTGAACAGCACATCGAGACGAGCAATCGAAGTCACACGATTTATACTCCATTATGATGTTCAATCTTAAAACAAAGTCATCAAAATATTTTTCAGTTTTCAGCATTTTATAAAGATACTTTAAACACCTTAGCCAATTTGATAATGTTAGACTATCCACACCATGTTTACAACTGTTCAATTGAAACTTACTCTTCTTCAAATACATTTCCTCCTGGACCTGAGGGAAAATCCTTGTGGCTAAATCCAGTATTTGCAAAGTGCATCCCAAGCATTTTCTCCACAGGGACTCTGATGGCACAAAGCTCAACTTGTAAGCCCCTCTCGGCACCTACAAGTCATGGGCGAGTCACCTGCAGCCCAGTGGCTCTCAAAGCGCGGCCTCCGGACAGCAGCAGCATCACCTGGGGACTTAGAGATACAAGTTCTCAAGCACCACCCCAAACCAATGCGCCACAAATTGTGAGGGTGGGCCCGTAGGCTAGTTTAACAAGCCTTCCAGGTGATTCTGGGGCTGGCTCAGGCAGGTTTGAGAAGCACTGCCCCACTTCTGCACAGCTGTCAGGACTGGCCTGCACGGCTCACACTGCAGGTGCTGCGTCTGCACCCCCTTACCCTGCCCTCCAGAGGCAGACAGGAGCCCTGCCATTTTGCAAATGAGAAACAGTTTAAGGCGTGGGATGGTGCAGTCAGCATCTCCACACCTACCTAGTGGACGAGCGCCGAGGTTTGGGCCCAAATGAAGTGGGCAGGGAGAAGTCACACCCCAAAGGCAAAAGCAAGCGCTCCTCATGTGGGTGAAAGTAAGCTCCCAAAGCCCCCACCGCCCCGAGCTGGACTCCTCTTCCTGAGGGTGGCTGTGCGGCCCTGGCCGCTGGCCGTGGGAGCCGTGAGCGGAGCCAGGCCCCACCCAGCTCCCAGAACAACGCCTCGACCACGGAGCTTTGTCTCCACTGGCCGCTTGCTGTGCTGGCTTCCAGGCGTATGATCATGAAAGTCACTTCCGAGGTAAGCCAGTCATTTCAGAGGAAGCTCACCGATGTAAGCTACATGAGCAGAACAGTGACACGACAGGGTCCCTCCCTGGAGGCGGCTGAGCGCACCCCCCCAAGGACCACCACCAGCGCAACTCCAGCACCTGGCCCTCGGCCCTCCTGGCACATGTCCCCCTCCCCCTCTGGAAAAGCTGTCCCTGTAGCTAGCTGGACATGTAGCTGAAGCAGCGTGCTCCACAACAACTGTGGACACAGACTGGCCACCCCTCAGAGGGCCCCAGGGCAGCAGGCAAACCACAGCAAGAAGCGCCCCAGGACCGTGGCCAGCGCAGGCGGAACTTCTGCGTCCAGCTCCCCGTGTGGTCCCAGTCATCCGCGCTGTTGACGCAAGCCTCCCTCCGGGGGGACCCGCGGCCTTACAGGTGGGCCCGCAACGCGGCAGGAGCACAGGTGGGGGTGAGTGGCCTGTCTCTCACCTGAGCCCCCGGTCGCCTGCCCCTGGCGGGAAGACGAGGCTACCTGTAAGCAGCAGTACCTCAGGGCCACACAGGGATCCTTGTGGGGCACAGAGTGTGGAGCCCGGCCCCAAGAGGAGACTGCCCACTGGGCACCCCCCACTCCAATCAGCACCCCGCCCTCCTTCCTCCAGAGCCAATCACCAGCTCGGTCTCCTCCCAGTGGAGCACCCCATCCTGTTCTCCCTTCCTCCTTGCCCGGGGTCTCGGTGAGCCTGTGTTCTGGACCTCACCGCCAGCGGCCGCCTGGTCCCCCCGCCCAAGGAGAAGGCAGGCCCAGCTGCCCTGCCTGCTAGGTGGCATCTGGGGGCCACAAGCACCTGAGGACAGGCAGGGGTGCACACGGAGCCTGGCCCACCCCGCGCTCCAATAGCCCCCTAACTCCTGCTGGTCACAGCAGCACCTGCCCCGTGCACCCACCACCCTAATGGGCACCCTTCTCACGCCCCCAGCACCCGCATCCTCCGGGAGTGCCACCCGCACTCCTCCAATCCCTCGGCACCCTTCAAGCCGGGCAGACACTCAGCGCCTCCACAGCCCAAGGAAGTGAGGTCAAGCTCCCCGCACCCCAGCTTTCTCACCCAGCCCTGAGTCCCGGGCAGGGAGCCCCTTTCCTGGCTCTAAGCCTTTCAGCCCCGGGCAGGAACCTGACTGGCCAGCAGCTGAAGGCCAGCACTCCACACGCTCGCTGAGTGCTGGCCCTGCGTCTCAACCCCAAGGGGTAGGTTCATCGCGCGGCGGTCGCGGCTCTGTCTTATGTCTGTCATCATCCATCACAATAAAGCCCTCAGGGAGCAGAGCTGCTTCAGTGAACAGTTACACAGTTCCACAGATTAGTGTTTCAGCTTCCTGGTGAATCCTGCACACAGGAGTTGTAGACAGTTTGAGATGCTTTAATTGGTGCATCCTAAATGAATGCCAATGTTCTAACTCACAGAACCATTTATAGCAGAACTAATTTATTAAGTCTGATCAATTCTAGGAATTAAATCACGACTGGTTTTCAATCCCAGTGGAGCAAGCAGGTCAGGAAGCTCAGAAACTGCTGGATGAATGAACTGGGGTTGTCCAGGAGCTTTTTACTGGTGAGACTGAAGTCTCACAGGGCTCGCTGGCTCTTCACATGGGTTACTGATCACACAGACGCTGCTGGCACCTCCTCGTGCTTACCGGAGTTTCAACAGAAAAAAATCTAGACAATGATCTGAAAATGCCACTAAAGAGCTGGTTACTGACACCTCCAGGAGAGCTACAGGCTTGCAAGTCAGGGTTCCCCTTTCCTTGGACTTCGGGCCCTCGAGAGCCCTTGAACACTTCATGAGGAAGTGCTGGCTTCCAGTCAGCTGGGCTGGCTTAGCGTGGATCCAACTGGGTGGCGGCCCGGCTCTACCCACCCCTTCGCCCCACAACCTCAGGCAGGCGGGGACCCCGCTGAGCCAACAGAGGCCTGAACCCTGGAGGAGTCGTCTGCCGGAGAGGGAAGGGCTCTGAGGGCTGCGGAGCGCAAAGCCAGCAGCCGAGCCTGGAGCTCCAGCCCACACTCCACGGGAGGGGCACGACGCGCGTGGAGAAGCTCTCAGCCCACTCCCAAGGGCATGTGCCACACCGGATGGGCACAGCAGAGCTAGCAGAGATGGGCTCTGCTCCCTCCAGGAGTCTCCCTCCCTACCTGAGGTGCACCTAGGAGAAAAGCCAGCCCAGCCCTCTGCAGGAGCGCCCCGCCCAGGGCCACCCTGCACCACTTCCGCCCAAGGCAGCCCCTCCCTGACCCAAGCCCTTGCTCCCGACAGCTCAGGGCCTTCCCGGCCTGGGGCTGCATCCTTGGCTCAGCACTGGCCACCTGTCCCATTTCTGCCCACCCCAACTCACCCCACCTGCCCTCCAGGTCAGGCCGGGGAAGCCTCAGGCCACTCTCCCTTCAGGCACCCCAGCCCTGCCAGGTACCATAAACCCAACTCCTAGATCTGCCCACAGCCTTCCAGGGCCTCCCAACCCTTCCCTTCCCTGCTGACCCCAGGCACCTTCCTGCCTCCCTCCCTCATGAACCCCTCCCTGCCATCTGCACCCTAGCTGCCCAGCTCCCAGCCTGGGGCACGGTGGTCTCCCCTGGAACCTCACCTCACCTCATCACCACTGGGGCCACTGTCAGTAGTGGCGTCCCCGCTGGCACGGTGAACCCAGGTGGGAAAGTCAGGAGGCCACTGAGTCACAGACCTGTTGGAGCGGCAGCTCTGGGGGGCACTGAGGGTCCCCTTAGGCTGTGGACACCAGAGGGGCTGATGGGCGCAGGCCATTATCCATTCTCAGCCTCGTCTCTGACAACCAAAGAGAAGCCGAAGGACCGAGGGCCAGTTCCCAGGGCCACAAAGGATCCCCTCCGTGGCCAGCAGCACAAAGGCTCACCTACGGCGTCCTCGCTCCACAGGGGGGCCGTGGGCTGCCCCGAAGTAACTGCCAGGGGCAGCAGAGTAAGCCACAGACAGAGGCTGCGCCCCAGCCTCTGGGGCTTCAGCCTGGTGCCTCCGGAAGCGTGCCGGTCAGTCGCTGGTCCTCCTGGCTGAAACCCGGCACAAGCCACGGCCTCCAAGTCACAGGCACGATGCGAGGACACAGGTCACACAGCACGGAGACACCCACGCAGTGACAGGGTGCAACGCACCGCTTAACTGAAGGCTGCGGCAGGTGGAAAGCAAGCTGGCTCTGGCAACACAGCAGCGACCCCCACCGGCTGGCAGCCAGCTGAACGGCCACGCAGAGGCCGGTTCCACAGTCGACCCCGGCCTTGAAGCAAAAACAAAACCAAGCTGGCATGAAACACCCACAGGATCCTCCTTCTGCGTCGCTTCCTCAGGCAACAGTTAATTCCAGATACCTGCAGGACCGGCCACCGCGTATGGAAAACTGAGCACTTGTTTTAAAAAAAAGCACCGGGGGAATGAAGACATCAGGTCGGTTTGGGACCACTTATCCCAGTGGGAAGAAAACGTCAATCACCCGCACAGCCTCAGTGCTGCAAAGAGGAAGAAACTGATCCGTCTCTGTCACCCCCAAGCATGAGGCCTGGCACTTGCCGGGCACCCTCCGGCATTTGAACATGGGGGAGAAACTGAGGTGACAGGAACCACGTGGAGAGCCCTCCAGCTGCACACACAAAGGCAAACATACGCTCCCTGACTGAGCAAAGCTAGCGCCTTCCTGGGGTATCCCTGGCCAGTGCACACTGAAGTCACGGTACAGCCACCAGGTGCCTCCTCGCACCTCAGCTTCTGGGCCTCGGTACAGGCCGGGCAAGCATGACTGTCCTCGCTTACACAGGGCGGCTCTGGAGGGGCGGGCGCTGGCCACGCTGCTGGGCACCGGCCTCAAGCTCCTTCCATGGCAACTCACGGCTCTGACAGGAAGTGACAAGATGATGTTGGAGGTGGCACCTCCTTTAAATCCCAGCTGCATTCGGGCCTACCTC